TTTTTCATACATTATTTTTAGCAATGAAAAAAATACTGAAATCAATTCATCATCTTGATTAATCAATGACAACCAACTATAAACAAAGCCTCGATACTCCAACTAACTAGCAAACTCATCTAACAAACTAGTTATAATAGGAATACTATCCTACAATGGCAATGCATACTCTACGATATACCTGCGCTGATTGAAGCCTTAGATACATCAAATATGACTTCCTTATCAAGCAAATGGTCAAAATTTTTGACTTAACACGCTAACACGATACAAACCAAACACTTACCGGAAATGACACAACATAATAGTACAAAATAATAAATGGATTGAGTTAGTGTTGAGATAATGCTGACACCAAGTTGGAATCCATGGTTTGATGGATCCATTAACCGTAGCAGCAACAATTACCAAGTCGATCTAAACAAGGAGCCAAAGTTTGGTCGCACCACTCATTTCACGATATCTACGTATCTTTCGCTGCCCTCCCCTTGAAACTGCAATTTTATTTGGGATTTTTCTTGTAACGCCCACAAAAAAATAACATTAAACCCATCAATATAGGCATGCATTGATATATAAAAGTTCCACAATTCTTCCATTCATCAGAGTTTCATTAAATAAAGTATTACATGTTAACGACAAAAGCAAATGCCCTAAAGGCTTACAGCTTTCCACTTGGTTACAACAAAAGAGTACTAACTCATTTACACATTAAGCCCTTGGCTTGAATTTACATGTAATACATAAAAAGGGAAAAGACAACAAAAAGTCCGTCAGCCTCAAGCTTCCCAAGCTATGTCCTTGGAGGTGGCATGCTACCTGTACCTGAAATGATGTTCCCATATAGGGTGAGCCACAGCCCAGTAGAAATACACTAAACCAAATATGGACAATGACAAAAAAATTAGCAGTTTGATAGATGGCCAACACTGATACTTTCTCTAATCACACTTTACAGTTTCATGACGTACATGTCCATGTTACAATACATTTCCCAATTTCTTTAGATTTTCAGTTTACAACCCTGGCTCAGAACCTGGTCAAACAACTCATATGAGACAATAACTCATATTAAACACTTTCCCATTTCATAATAGATAAGCATACTAGCTATATCATACACTAACAAATAAGCATACAAGCTATATCATAACTTCTATAGATATGCATAAGAGCACTATCACACTTCCAATGACAAGCATATGAGCTCTATCAACACATTAATAGATAAGCATATGAGCTCTATCTATGCAGTCCATCCCCTATCTCCTCCCAACAACATCCGGTTTAGAGGTCCATCCCCTATCTTCCCCTAAACCGTGGAGTACATCCCCTATCTCCTCCAACACAATCCAATGCATATAAACAATAATTATACACATCATCACACAATACATAAATTTAATGTATTCTTTCAACCGTCAAACTCAATGACGCATTCCAGTGATTAGTTCCAGTTAGCCTAATCATCATGCATTGTCTACAACAATCACGACTATCCTCCACCGATAGCCCAAAGCAGTTATTTCTATACAGAAAAATAAGTGCAACAAATGGATATATAAAATCAACATTTCCAACTAGGTGAGCGATATAAAATCCAACTACACCCTTTAATCCCATACATTCCCAATCTCAACATTTCCAATTCAATTCCTCATTTCTCACAATTTATTTCACAAGTTAATTAACCAATGTAATTAGGGTATTTTCCATAATTCACATTCAACCCTTAGGTTCCACTTCCATTAATGTTTTGACATTAATTCCACTTTTCCATGCCAAACATGCATCTAGGCTTTTATATAGTTAAAACCCCAACTTTGTAAATTTGCACAAAAGTCCCAAACTTTCACAAAATTACCAAACCAACTCCAACATCTCAAACTACTAAAATTTAAAGACAAAACCCATAGTAAGGAGTAGGTTATCCCTACCTCAAAGTTAGAGCTCGGATGGAGAAGAGACCAAAACAAAAGTGCTTAAAAAGCCAAGATTCTCGGATCAAAACGACGCCCTCGACGATCAACACAACTCTTACAAAGGCCGAAGGAGAGGAAAACACTCTAACTAGATCAAACCCTAGAGAGAAGGGAGTTTCTAGAGAGAGGAGCTCTCAAAATGACTTTTTGGAAAGTAAGAGAGAGAAAGAGAAAGGAAAAAGTGATTTGAAAAGCCAAAACACGGAGCTTTAACCCAGGCGCCCCGCTCGAGCGTCAAACTCCCCGCTCGAGCGTCACTCACAGACTCACGCTCTAGTGTCAACAATCCCGCTCGAGCGGCGAATACACACTCCCAGAACTTTTACAGAACCAGGTCTCCGCTCGAGCGTCAAACCTCTCCGCTCGAGCGTCAAAACTCCCGCTCGAGCGCACAACACTGCAGAGGAGAAACTGGAAGATGGAAAACTACGCTCGAGCGTCGAAAACCCCGCTCGAGCGAACGGACAACAACAAAGGGCCCGCTCGAGCGTCATAATCTCCGCTCGAGCATGAAAGCCAAAATCTGGGCAACTACTCTTGGTTTCTAAGTTCAACCAACCTGTTTCAAGCTCGCCCAATACAACCCAAGACTCGAATGCAAGGAGTAAAGGATGTAAACAAGACATATACAACAACCAACTCCACGGAACCCAAGTCCGGGCACAACAGTTAAAGAAAAGGGAAACCGGGATCGCTATATTTCTGGACATTCCCAGAAATGGCTACTATAAAGAAAAGGCTTCTGATTTACTGGTGGATTAGAGAGGGATTTCTATCCCCAATGTCAGTGGACCAAAAACTAGAAGAAATTGCATGCACTACAACATATAAGATTTTTAGTGATTAAATTTTTTGGTCTTTAAAAATATAAATTTTATTAGAAAAATATTTAGGGACTAACTTCAGTTCTCGAGAGAATAATTGCTAAAAAGTCATCCCGAAATGTCAAAAAAAAAAGACTTTTGAAGACAAAATTTTGAAAATGTCGTTAATAAATACATTTTTAAGGACAAAATAACTTAGTCTCAAAAATAATTTTTGGTCTCAAAGGTTTGGTAATTCAACACTAAATGTCCAATTTTGTCGCTAAAAATAAAATAATAACACTATTGACAACAAAAATATTTCGTCCTTAAAAAGTGATTTTGTCTCTGAAATCTTAATTTTTTGTAGTGACGGAAGAGATACAAGTTGTTGGATGGGCTTATTGCAAAGGGGTTCAACGAGCGTATCTACAAAAATTGTGGCTTGGCCGTGGATAGTTATAGGATTCCCCCTTTCCATTCATTCCATATTAAAGAAGTTTATTTTAGACCAAAACCAGTGTGGACTATAGATTTGGATGCTTGATTTGTTGATGAATATGCTCGGTTACGGTATGAGCTTCAATGCTTCCTCAATGTTGGTGAGGCTATTATTGATCGTAGGTTCAAACGGTTTTCCAAGTTCATCCATCTCAAAATTGTTTACTTGGGAATGTGGCATAACTCAATCAGCATCACATTGAAGTCACAGACACCAAAATTCTATGAAACAGTTGAGGTTTCTTAGCATTCAAGGAAATTCTTTGATTACAGAGCTTTCCCAATTCATTTCACAGCTGACTAATCCCAAGATCTTGGATCTCAGAGCATATCACAATCTTGAGGTGGTTCTAGATTGGATTGGCTTGCTTAAGAGTTTGACACAATTGGACATATCTGAGTGTTACTTTTTAGATCACATGCCAAAGGGGATTGGTTTACTATCAAAACTCCAAGTCCTAAAGGGATTTATCATTCCAGATTCTGAGAACAAAAAGTTGTCATGAATTATCCATGATTTGACAAAATTGCCAAAGCTAAAAAAATTGAGCATGTACACGAGTGTGAAAGATTTTCCAAGAAATAAGCAACTCCATCATTTAAAAAGATTAAAAACCGTGCAAAAGTCAAAGATATCATGGTCACAATGCATTTTATGAGGTGAAACAAAAAGCATACATAAGCAAGTACGACCACAACCACAACTACGCGCCAGGCTGACAGAAGTATTGACAAGATCATTCACCGAGTAGAATGATTTTGAACTTCCTCTCCAATTGGAACTACCTTCCTCATTGCAGAAACTAGAACTTAAGTGTTTTCCCGAGATAGTTACACCCAATTAGTTGTAGTCTAGAAATCTGAAGAATTTGAACAAAAAAATCTACATTAGTGGAGGGCTATTGTGTTATCTAGGCACAATAGTTGCTACCACAGTTGAGATGTTGCAATTGAAATACTCGAGTGACTTAGAGATGAGTTGGATGGAACTCAGGATATCATTTCCCAATTAGATTTACTTGGAGAAAGTAGAATGCCTCGGTCTCACTTACTTCCCATGTGATGAGAATGGTATTTGGATAGATAAAACAAACACGCAAAATCAAGAAATGACATCCTAAATTTACAATTTTACAATTTCACTATGTGACAAATTGATATCTTGGGAGTTATATAGTAGTAATTTCCTTCTCTCACGAAAGACTAGTGGAACTTCCTCCACATTGTTAAAGGGAGGGTTGGGCTTCTCCGTGTAATACATTTCCGTTCTATTTCAATGATCCTAATTGTTTATTTTGTAAGATTTTTAATATATATTATTCATGTAAAAAAATTAAATTAAATCGATAATCGTAATATTTTTATTTTATCACTTTTAGTTTTGAAAAATTAAATAAATGCGTTTTTTTTTTAAATGAACTATTTATTTTTTTAAAACAAACACGATAAAATAAAAATATTACGATTATCAAATCGACTTAAATATTTTTTATAAATAATATATATGAAAAACTTACAAAATAAATAATTTAAATCATTAAAATAAAATTCATAATAAATTCCAGAAATTAAAACGAAACCCATCAAGTTATCTCAAATTATTATTTAAACATGATATAAAAACTTATCGAGAGAACTCGGTTTCAACGACCCTTGTCCCGGCCAGTGGACCATATTTCTTCCCCGTGTCTCATCAATTATTGTCTTGGTAGATTTCCAACATCTGTAGGCCACCCCCTTCATTCTCTTCTGCACCTTTTCTCAGTCTCACTTGGCGTCTCTCTCTCTCTCTCTCTCCCTCACACAAGTCTCTCTCTTGTGGTGTCACAACGTTTCTTCTCTCTCATTTGCCTCTCTCTCATTCATCTCTCTCTTTGAAACCCTGACCATCAAAGAAAAAAACGTGTTCACTCTCTCTCTCTCTCTAGCCAAGACTGTTTTTGTTTCTTGGATCAGATCTCTAGCCAAGACTTCAACACGACCTTTTGGAAGTGAAAGCCATGGGCTGCAGTATCTCCCTACCAAATCCACTTGACAACCACCACCACAAAGCTACTAGTACTACTACCACCATCACCACCGCCACCGCCACCGCCACCACCGCAAACAATGACGACTACCAAGTTGGAGATTCTGCACTCACTAACATGATTGGTCGAGATCTTACTTTCATGAAAGAGGCCATGGTAGAGGTTCAGAAGTATGTAGATCATATGAATGTGCAAATCAACCAGGCCTGTGAGAAATTTGAGCTCAAAACAAGAGGAGGGAGTGATACACAAGAACTTGGCGAATTGAAAAAGGCCGTAAAGAAGTTGAAATCCCAGATTCCCTTAAAGCTTATTAAAGTCCAATACGATGATTATTCCAAACCACGTCGGAATCCATGGTTTGATGGATCCATTAACAGTAGCACCAGCAACTACCAAGTCGATGAAAACAAGGCCGGTGATTTGTACAGCTTGTACAAGGACCCAAAGTTTGATCACACCTCTGCATTTCAACATGTCGATGTATCTTTCCATCGCCTCCCCGTGAAACTACAATATTGTTTGGAATTTTTCTTGATGTTCCCAGCAATGGTTACTATAAAGAAAAGGCTTATGATTTACTGGTGGATTGGAGAGGGACTTGTACCCACAATCTCAATCGACCGAAAGACAGAAGAAGAAATTGCGGTGACGAAGACAGCAGAGGATTGTGGCAACGAGTTGTTGGATGAGCTTACTGCAAAGGGCTTCATCGAGCCTATCTACAAAAATTCTGTCTTGGTTGTGGATAGCTACAGGATGCGCCCTTTGTTGGGATATACCTCCTTATTGGAGTGTGGGACCCAATTGGTTTGTTAAAGAGTTTTAATTTGGCTTGGTTTAGTATAATATATTTTTATATATTATATTTGTGGAGACCTAATCTAATTTGGTAACAATTAGGATTTGATTACAAATCCCTAGATTCACAATATATATATATATATATATTGTGAGTGCAGCGGCTGTTTTTGTATGTGTGTGTGCTAGATGATCATCTTTGGTAATCATCATTGTAGACAAGCATGCTGCTGGTTTGATTTAGTGGTAGGATTTCAGCAATCTTTGTGTGGGTTGATTTGGAGGATTATTTTGGGTCTTCTTCAACTCTAGTTCAGAAGATTTTGGTTCATCTATTTGGTGAGGTCTTTCCTCTTTGTTTATTTGTGATTATTTGGAATTCACCTAAGGGTGTTTTGTGAGACCATTAGTGTCTTGTTTGTAATCGTTTGGAATTATTTGGTTGATAGCGGAATCGGATTTCGATCCCGTGGACGTACCTCACATTGAGGGAACCACGTAAAAATTCTTGTGTTGCCTTTGATTTAATTTTTCCGCATTAGTTTTTATTCCCATTGATTGATTTACTTGTGGGGAATCACATCGATTTTCCCTAACAACACCCTTTCATTCATTCGACTTTAAAGAAGTTTTACTTTAGACCAGTGTGGACTATGGATTCGGATACTCGATTTGTTACTGAATATGCTCGGTATGAGCATCCATGCTTCCTCAATGTTGGTGAGGCTATTATTAATGACAGGTTTGAACGGTTTTCGGAGTTCACCCATTTCAAAATTGTTTACTTGGGAAGGTGGCAGAACTCAGTCACGCATCACATTGAAGTCGCAGACATCAAAATTCTCAATGCATTGAAGAATATGAAACAGTTGCAGTTTCTTAGCCTTCGAGGAATTTCTTTAATTACAGAGCTTCCCCAATTCATTTCAGAAATGACTACTCTCAAGGTCCTAGATCTTAGATCCTGTCACAATCTTGAGGTGGTTCCAGATTGGATTGGTTTACTTAAGAGTTTGACACACTTGGACATATCAAAGTGTTACTTTTTAGATCACATGCCTAAGGGACTTGGTTCGCTATTAGAACTCCAAGTACTTAAGGGATTTATAATTGGAGATTCCGATGACAAACACTCATGTACTATCGATGATTTGACAAAATTGTCAAAGTTGAGAAAATTGAGCCTACACACCAATATGAAAGAATTCCCAACAAGTAAGCAGCTCCGTCATTTACAAAGATTAAAAACTTTGCAGAAGTTAAAAATATCCTGGCTAGGATGCATATTACAAGGCAAAAGAGACGACACATCTAAGCAAGCACAACCACAACCACAGCCACAACCACGTGCCAATCTAACAAGAGCACTAACAGGATCGTTCACCGAGCAGCATGATTTGGAACTTCCTATCCAGACGGAACTTCCTTCCTCATTGCAAAAACTAGAGCTTGAGTGTTTCCCTGAAATGGTTACACCCAATTGGTTGTTGTCTGGCAATCTGAAGAACTTGAAGAAACTCCACATTAGAGGAGGACAATTGTGTCATCTAGACCAAATAGCAACTACCACAATTGAGATGTTGCAATTGAAGTACTTGAGTGACTTCCAGATGCCTTGGATGGACCTTAGGAGATTATTTCCCAATTTGATCTACTTCGAGAAAGTAGAATGTCCCGCTCTCATTTCTTTCCCGTGTGATGAGAATGGTGTTTGGATGAACAGAGCAAACACACAAAATCAAGAAATGGCATCATGAGTTTGTGGTAAGTTCTACCATTTCACTATATGACAAATTGATGTCTTTAGAGGTAGTAGTAATTGCCTTCACTCATGAAAGACTAGCTACTAATTCATTTGTTGAATCAAATGTATGTCATGGCTTCAAGGTCATTCATCAAGGCTTCTTTACGAATTTTCAAGAAAGTTTTATTTGGTATTAAAAATATATATATAGCGTTTCTTGTATGCTACCTGATGGGGGGTTATACTGCATGAGTTCAACTTCAAAAATTTAGCATGTCTCTAATCAGTACACTTGGAAACTTGCAGTGAATTACATGAGAAAAAAAATAAATTTTTTACTTTGTTTTGGAAAAGGGAAAAAAGTGAGGCATAGGAGTATATCGTATAATGATTTATCCCCTTAATTTTGTTCCTCCAATTTTATCTCTAATGCTGTAAAATTAAAAAGGCTAAAAATAAAAGGGAGAGGAGTGTTGGATCGCTTTATAAGAGAGTAGGCCACATCATTGGAAGTGAAATTAGGGGCACAAAATTAGGAACTCATATCTATATTAATCTTGAAAACTTTTGTCATAACTTTTTTTATTGGATTATTTACATAGACATTTTAAATTATTGAGAAATATCACTTTGAGTAAATTATAAAATTGTACAAATGGATCTCCTAAATTTTTGACATGTTCCACTTTAACCCTTTCTGTTATTGCATCGTGAGTTTAACCAAACTTTTAAATATTTTTAGACGAAAATACCCTTCAACATTCTATATATTTACAATTTCATTATTATTAATTTTTATTTTTTTAAATATAAGCATTAATTCATTATTATTGTTTTATTATTTTTTTTTCAATTTTCTTTATAAATATATTTTATAGAAAAAAATATTTAAAAATAATAATAAAAAAATGACTAAAATTAAAAAGAAGTGTTGTTGAGTGTGTTATATAGTGTTATAGAGTATTTTCATCTCAAAAATGTCAATGCAGTAACAGATAGGGCCAAAGTGAAATACGCCAATAATTTAAAAAATTCATTTCTATATTTTTATAATTCAAAAAGTTAAAATAATATTTCTCAATAATTTAAGAATCTCCATATAAATAACCCTTTTATTTCCGAACTACCTTTCATTTTAACCACAAACTGGATTCTATAATTGCTGATTTCAACGCTCACTTTTCTAGTATATTTATTCTATTATATTTAAATTGGTGTTAGCCACTGTCAAGTTCTCTACTTTTTCAAGAATATCATTCTCACCCAATAATTGTCATCCATTTCCACCCAATGGCTATCACATGTAACAACTGTTAAAATGACACTATTTTTTACTTCATTAAACGGTCCGAAACTATACTGATCAATTTTCCTCAATTTTCAAGTTATCCAAAAATTTAAATAAAATTACAAATGTATAGTATTTGCACTCACCTCTAGTATATATTACAAATGTACTTTTTGTTCCGATTGAATTGCCACATTTACCCCAGCTTTAACACCATCGATTAACAGAGTTACTACTACAAAAATAGTAAAAGATCACACTTTGACAAAAAAAAAATATCTCACTTTTATTGAAAGTGTGATAAAAAAAAAATTAGATTGATATTTTAATCACACTTAATTTAATTAAGTGTGATAATATTTATTTTTTATGTCACTTTTCAATTAAGTGTGATTATATATATGTTTTTTTTAATCACACCTTCTAATTAAAGTGTGATTATATATACACTACTACTTTTTAATCACACTTTTTAAATAAGTGTGATTATATATATATTTTTTAATCACACATTCTAATTAAAGTGTGATTATATATACATTACTACTTTTTAATTACATTTTTTAAATAAGTGTGATTATATATATATATATATTTAATCACACTCCCTAAATAGGTGTGTTTGTATAAAATATTTCACTTTGATTTTTATATAAAATATACAATTCCCAATTTATTTTTAAAAAGAAGGCCCCAACACCAAAACACAAATTAAAAAAAAAAATTCAAAATACATTTAACTCTTTAACTACTTCTAATCAAAAAGGAAATATATATCCTTTATAATTGATCATTTATATGAAAATATATATCCTTTATAATTGATTAGAATGGTCTACAGATCTTTCCAAACAACAAATAAACGGCTGAGATCATTTTACACATTAGAGAGTTCCCATCCATCAAACACGCGCAACAGTTTCTTCTTTTCTTCTTCTCTCTTTTGTGATTCACGCTCTGTCTCTGTCTTTGTCTCTCTCTCTCTCTCTTAGAACGATAAACACCTCATCAGCACAACCTTTGTGTCTCCTCCTCTTCCCCGAATTTGGATCCTCTTCCCCAATAGACACCCACCCTCTTCGCTATATATGGTGCTCTTCATTTCCCTTACAACCTTTCGAAACTCATTGGCTTAGGAAAGACCTGCACTTTTGGTAAGGTTCTAAATCTAGAGTTTGTTTCGGTTCTAAACCTAGAGTTTGTTTCTTTTCTTTTCTGAAACCCTTCCCTTCTTAAATTAGGGCATTTGATTAAACTATTTGGATTTCCATTCAACGATTTCTGGTTGGGGGTTTTGATTTTTTTTTTTTTTATAATATGGATGTATATATGTATAAGCTCAAATCAATTACAATAGATATGTTTGTTTATATATGCTTTTGAAGGTGGCAAGCGATCGATTATGCTCGGTTGAATCACAGTAGGATTACATTCTTCAATTTCTCCAAACCAGAGACCACAGCTTCTCGCTGGAGTCGAGTCAAGTTGAATGCTTCCAAGGTCATCTGCTTCTTCCTCTTCTTCTAAATTTTTTCCCCAATTCAGTGTAATTTCTAAAAATAATTATAAAATCATCTATGGTAAAATTTTCCATCATTAATAACCAAACTCTTTTTAAAAAATTTCATGAATCTATAATAATTTTCTTACAATATCAATTAATCTAATAATTAAGTAGTATTATATTATTATGTGTTCAACGAAGTGACTTAAAATTATCATGTTAATTGTGTTGGGTAGGTTGGTAAGGGTTTGTCCAAAGACACCAAAGCACAGAAATTGGCCTTCCAACACTGGATTTATGTTACTAATTATATCAAATTTATATACACATTAGACGCACATCAGTCTCTTCTCATGGTCTTATAAAAATCATATTTTAATTCGAAGTTTTTATGATAATAGATGAATTATAGACGTTCTGGAGTTGGGTCCTTTTGATGACGAGCAACCTATTTACATAAGATTGATCAATCATTAATTTAGGCTGCAAGTTATTGTGCTTATTACACTACAACAAAATTGGGTTTTTACGGCTTCATATCAATGACATACAGTAAATGCAAGCCGTGATTTCTCATTTGTACGACTTGTTTTTTTTGCATGTTGTAAATAATTTCCCAACCAAGACCTGTCTATTGCGTATGTCATGAATGTTAATAACAATGATTTTTTTATGGCTTACAATGTTAGCCGTAAATAATAAAACTTTTTATGACATACATTTGGCATGCTGTAAATATATCAATTATACACGATACGCGTACGTCAATCGTTAAACATACAATCTTGCTGCATACCCCCAGTGGGGGTCGCACCCCCAGTGAGGTGGCGAGCCTCCACTGGCTGAAACTCAAAAAAAAAAAAAAATAAATAAACCAAATTTTTTTTTTGTCCAATCACAGCGCGCCACCTCACTGGGGGTCGACCCCAGTGGGGGTCCGAAGCATTTTTCGTTAAACATATTTTATTTTTCACGGCGTTCAATTTATGTCGTAAATGGTGTGATCAAAAAAAAATTAAGCACCAAAATAAAATAGCATCCGGCGCCACCCAAAAAATTAAGCGAAAATTAAGCGCCATAATTTTTTTTTTATGTATCAAAATACAAACTGTTTGGCTCCTAAGTGGGTTCTAAAGGAACGTGAAAGATGTAAATCAGATAATAGAAGAGAGGGAGAAGAAAGAAGGGTTCGAAAGGGAGATTGGTTCAGCGGCATCAGATTTCGATCTGGAACGGTGCGCTCCCTCCAACGGTGAGACTGGTTCAGCGACGGCAACGGTCGACGGCTCGAAGTGGAAGGGTTTCGTTCTTGAGGTATGTCTGGATTCCCCCGCCCTTTTCTCTCTCTCTCTCTCTCTCTCTCTCTCTCACACACACACACACACACACACATTCACTCTATTTTATTCGGTTAGTTTCTCTGCTTACATAGCGAGAATAGTTACAAGATGAAGCGAAGAAATTGTAGGAGGAATCTGATATCAATCCATGAGACCAGAAAAACTCAGCCCTTGAGGAATTTTTTTTAATGATAAATTAGCAGAAAATCTATGATTGAAAATTCTATATTTCTTTTTTGTTTTAAACTGAAATTACCAGAAATTCTTGTTAGTTTCTTTAGGTTTTCTTTTGTTTACAGTATTGAGTTGGTTAATAGGCATATGGGAATCGATCAATTAATCGAAGAGGATCTAAATCAATGTGTTTTTCACACTGTGTTATTTGAATCAATGTGTTTTTCACAGTCTTACAAAATTGCCCTTATCCCTCACTGTCCTGCCATTGTTGCGCAACCATGGCCTGCTTCAATTGAGGAAAAAAAAGAAGAAAAAAATATGCTATTGTAGGAGTGGGAGCAGAAGCGTTGGTCATTACTTTCTTACATTTTTTTTTTCAATCTCAACCTATGTTTCTAACCACCATTAGTGTTTTTAGTGCTGCTACGTAGTGTGTTGGCTTTTGGGTTCATAGGAACTCAATTGTTTTGTGAGGTTTTTTGCAGGAATAGTCTCCAATGCTTGACACCAACTGCCAAAGCCTCCGCATAGACTTCTACTACTTAATCCTCTTGGTGGTCTGCGATGGTGACAGATCCACTCTCTCCAAATTCTTGACTTTTGTAGCTGTGATTGCATCGAAATTATCCTCGAGCCTTTGTTGAGACTTTTCGTCTGTATCTACCAAGGATAGATTGATGGTGCCACAATCGGGGCTGTAGAGGACGAAAGTGGGGCACATGTAGGGGATGATCACGGCGTCACCTTTATAATTGATTAGAATGGTCCACAGATCTTTCCAAACAACAAATAAATGGCTGAGATCATTTTACACATTAGAGAGTTCCCACCCATCAAACACGCGCAACAGTTTCTTCTTTTCTTCTTCTCTCTTTTGTGATTCACGCTCTATCTCTATCTTTGTCTCTCTCTCTCTCTTAGAACGATAAACACCTCATCAGCACAACCTTTGTGTCTCCTCCTCTTTCCCGAATTCAGATCCTCTTCCGCAATAGACACCCACCCTCTTCGCTATAGATGGTGCTCTTCATTTCCCTTACAACCTTTCGAAACTCATTGGCTTAGGAAAGACCTGCACTTTTGGTAAGGTTCTAAACCTAGAGTTTGTTTCGGTTCTAAACCTAGAGTTTGTTTCTTTTCTTTTCTGAAACCCTTCCCTTCTTAAATTAGGGCATTTGATTAAACTATTTGGATTTCCATTCAACGATTTCTAGTTAGGGGTTTTGAATTAGGGCATTTGATTCAACGATTTCTGGTTGGGCGTTTTGATTTTTTTTTATTTTATAATATGGATGTATATATGTATAAGCTCAAATCAATTACAATAGATATGTTTGTTTATATATGCTTTTGAAGGTGGCAAGCGATCGATTATGCTCGGTTGAATCACAGTACGATTACATTCTTCAATTTCTCCAAACCAGAGACCGCAGCTTCTCGCTGGAGTCGAGTCAAGTTGAATGCTTCCAAGGTCATCTGCTTCTTCCTCTTCTTCTAAATTTTTTCCCCAATTCAGTGTAATTTCTAAAAATAATTATAAAATCATCTATGGTAAAATTTTCCATCATTAATAACCAAACTCTTTTTAAAAAATTTCATGAATCTGTAATAATTTTCTTACAATATCAATTAATCTAATAATTAAGTAGTATTATATTATTATGTGTTCAACGAAGTGACTTAAAATTATCATGTTAATTGTGTTGGGTAGGTTGGTAAGGGTTTGTCCAAAGACACCAAAGCACAGAAATTGGCCTTCCAACACTGGATTTATGTTACTAATTATATCAAATTTATATACACATTAGACGCGCATCAGTCTCTTCTCATGGTCTTATAAAAATCATATTTTAATTCGAAGTTTTTATGATAATAGATGAATTATAGATGTTCTGGAGTTGGGTCCTTTTGATGACGAGCAACCTATTTACATAAGATTGATCAATCATTAATTTAGGCTGCAAGTTATTGTGCTTATTACACTACAACAAAATTGGGTTTTTACGGCTTCATATCAATGACATACAGTAAATGCAAGCCGTGATTTCTCATTTGTACGACTTGTTTTTTTTGCATGTTGTAAATAATTTCCCAACCAAGACCTGTCTATTGCGTATGTCATGAATGTTAATAACAATGATTTTTTTACGGCTTACAATGTTAGCCGTAAATAATAAAAATTTTTATGACATACATTTGGCATGCCGTAAATATATCAATTATACACGATACGCGTACGTCAATCGTTAAACATACAATCTTGCTGCATACCCCCAGTGGGGGTCGCACCCCCAGTGAGGTGGCGAGCCTCCACTGGCTGAAACTCAAAAAATAAATAAATAAATAAAATAGTTTTTTTTTTGTCCAATCACAGCGCGCCACCTCACTGGGGATCGACCCCTAGTGGGGGTCCGAAGCATTTTTCGTTAAACATATTTTATTTTTCACGGCATTCAATTTATGTCGTAAATGGTGTGATCAAAAAAAAATTAAACACCAAAATAAAATAGGATCTGGCGCCACCCAAAAAATTAAGTGAAAATTAAGCGCCATAATTTTTTTTTTTATATCAAAATACAAACTATTTGGCTCCTAAGTGGGTTCTAAAGGAACGTGAAAGATGTAAATCAGATAATAGAAGAGAGGGAGAAGAAAGAAGGGTTCGAAAGGGAGATTGGTTCAGCGGCATCAGATTTCGATCTGGAACGGTGCGCTCCCTCCAACGGTGAGACTGGTTCGGCGACGGCAACGGTCGACGGCTCGAAGTGGAAGGGTTTCGTTCTTGAGGTATGTCTGGATTCCCCCGCCCTTTTCTCTCTCTCTCTCTCTCTCTCTCTCTCACACACACACACACACACACACATTCACTCTATTTTATTCGGTTAGTTTCTCTGCTTACATAGCGAGAATATTTACAAGATGAAGCGAAGAAATTGTAGGAGGAATCTGATATCAATCCATGAGACCAGAAAAACTCAGCCCTTGAGGAATTTTTTTTAATGATAATTAGCAGAAAATCTATGATTGAAAATTCTATTTTTCTTTTTTTTTTTTAAACTGAAATTACCAGAAATTCTTGTTAGTTTCTTTAGGTTTTCTTTTGTTTACAGTATTGAGTTGGTTAATAGGCATATGAGAATCGATCAATTAATCGAAGAGGATCTAAATCAATGTGTTTTTCACACTGTGTTATTTGAATCAATGTGTTTTTCACAGTCTTACAAAATTGCCCTTATCCCTCACTGTCCTGCCATTGTTGCGCAGCCATGGCCTGCTTCAATTGAGAAAAAAAAAGAAGAAAAAAATATGCTATTGTAGGAGTGGGAGCAGAAGCGTTGGTCATTACTTTCATACTCTTTTTTTTTTTCTTTTTTTTTTTTTTTTTCAATCTCGACCTATGTTTTTAACCACCATTAGTGTTTTTAGTGCTGCTATGTAGTGTGTTGGCTTTTGGGTTCATAGGAACTCAATTGTTTTGTGAGATTTTTTTTTTTTATTTTTGGTTTTTAGGTTCCTTGAGTCATACAAGATATAGTGCGAATTTCAAACTTTTGAGTTATGAAAAACATCTGTTATACATGATGCATAACAGTGGCATTATTTACCTTTTTCTTTCTTTTTTTGTTTTTGCTTTGTGCATTGTTAATGGAAGCAATCCTGTTCTTTTGGTTGTGCAATGTGATTATATTATATGTTAGGACATGGTCCACTGTTTAAATTTTAGTATTATTATCAATTTTTTCCACTTTTAACTTTCTGATTATTATCTCATGTGCACCAACTGCAAAACACACAAATGATGGTTGCTAGTTTTTTTTCTTTGGGGCCAATAGAATGATGTATTAAGTGGGAAATGGCGCCTGTCATTATATGGAAATCATTTGCTTGAAAGGAATAATTACTATTGTATCCTGCACAACCATCATCTCTGGATTGGTAACCAAAACTAAGTAGCTTAATCCTTTGTTCGAGTAACCTTTCCATTGTTGATTCACATGAACTCCCGCTTCCAACATTGTCCTAAGATGCTCTCCTCTCTTGCTTTTGTATTTCATATTGTGTGGGTTTTAGCTCCATACACTGAAGTCTGGTTAGTCATGCACTATTCCCTCAGTGAGCATGAATTTCAAATTTGAGGAAACCGTTCGTTGATCTCTGTGTTGGTTTCTTTGAGAACACTAATTTATTTTGTTTGTTCCCAACAGCATGTCATTAATCGTTGTGTACAACTATTTATCTTCTATTCATTCTATTGGATCTCAATTTATTTTACACCCAATGCTGCCTTCCTTCTCATAAGATTCATGAAAGCATGTAAAGAGCAACAGTCCAGTCTTCTTCAGCAGTTTTAAATTGACGTTTCACCAAACAACCTAATCCTGTTGTTGTATTTGATCGTTAGTTATTGTCAGCAAAGTGAATTTCTTGTATTTTCCTATGATGTTGTAGTTCATTAGCATATTTTGTACTGTTTGAACTTGAAAGTTTTTTTGTCCCTCTTGTATGCTTTTTGCCAGTTGCCCATAACCCAGTTAAGATTTAAACAATTTTGGTAAAAAAAAAGCAAGTGCTTCTGATTGTTGATTTTTTTAGTTATTTTCTCAGTTATATGGTGTACATGTATGCATTGAACTGTTGAAATTTCCTGTGTCAATAACAACATAGTTCATGTTTGCTTAGTTATCAACATATTGGTATTCTTGTGCAACACAAAATTTATTTGCTGCTGTTACAAAGCCATTAGCTACATCTATGAAAATATTCACGGTTCTGTTTTCATGTAATCGGATGTAGTTAGTTAATTATTGGAATTCAAATCAGGTTAGAAGAGAAACTCACCAATATAGAATCGGAGAATAAGGTCCTTCGTCAGCAGGCTGTCTCCATGGCACCTAATAAGATCGTCTCAGGACGCTCCAGATCAATTCTTCAAGTTCTCCCAGAAATCAATCTTCTTCAAATCATGAACTAATGTTGTGGATGTTTTATGAAATTTTCATGTTTTCATCTATTGGCAGAGAGGTGGTGAGAGTGGTCATTTGTTTGTGGATACAAAGACAACTTAGGTAAATTTTAATGTTTTATGAAATTTTCATGTTTTCATCAATCCTTTTGTTAAACATGCATTTTTGTTGATTACTGTTAAAAATGCCTTAGGATCTGCATAGACCTTCATTAAACCAAAGGGTCTTTCAGAAGTAGAGGACAAACCACAAAAATCTCTCAATGAGAAACAGCAAGAAAATCAAGAGCTTCTTATCTGATGTATTGGACAACACCTAGGCTTCGCAGGGAACAGACCAATTGCTGCTAGTATCATCTACAAATGCCTTCTACAGTGGAGATCTTTTGAAGTTGAGCGGACTAGTGTGTTTGACCGAATCAGTCGAACCATAGGCCATGCTATCGAGGTTTGAATAATCTAATCCTATATGCTACTAGTGTGTCTTGTTTTCCCTTTTTGTCATAATTGGCTTCTCATAACTAAATATTATTATTTGGATTAAAGACCCAGGATAACAATGACATCTTAGCCTATTGGTTGTCCAATTCCTCGTCTCTTCTGCTGCTGCTACAGCGTACATTGAAAGCAAGTGGTGCCGCTGGAATGGGCGCCGTCGATTATCCTCGGCTACTCTGTTTAGAAGGATGACACAGGTAATTTAAAGTTCCCATTTGAATTTCCATGTTCTGTCATCAAACGAAGTTTTAGTCCTTTCGTTAGTTCAGGTGTTTGCTATTATTTTTATTTACAGAGTTTCCGAGGAACTCCGCAAGGAGTTAATCTTTCCTTTGTAAATGGTGGCCTGACTGGTGGAGCAGAAGCTTTACACCAAGTTGAAGCCAAATACCCAGCTTTGCTTTTCAAGTAGCAATGTACAGCATTTGTAGAAAAGATTTATGGAATAATTCGAGATAACCTTAAGAAAGAGATTTCTCCATTGCTTGGGTTGTGCATCCAGGTAATTGAATCTGTTGGGTAATATGAGTCATTCATCTGCCCAGGTAAGAAATACTTCTTTACATATTTTTGGTCAATTCTTAGATCATGTCATTGTAGTTAATATACATTAATGGATCAAATTGATGGTTCTCATCACACACATACTCATTTAGTGCATTCTAATGCTTGAAATGGTGTGTGGCCTTGCTACATTCGGGGAGGTTTCTTCTATAACAAATATATGATGCACATCAACAATCATTGCATTGTCAACATGAATGATCGAAACTGGATTTTTTTTTCTTTATTTATTTATTTTGACTATGATAGAATTTCCTTGTTTTTAAGAAAAGGATTAAGAAGGTTTTTTTTCTTTATAGGATAGAATTTCCTTGTTTTTATTATCAATTGACTTGAAGCTTCTTCGTTGACTCATTTATTTGGTATATTTTAATTTTTATTAGCAATGTCAAACATTATTTAGTTTTGTTATTTTAGTTAAAAACCTTCTTAATCCTTTTCTTTTTTCCCTTCAGCTCATTTGATACATGCTTATGGTTCTTTGAGTAACACAATTTTCTGTAGAATTCCAATCTTATAACATATTTCTAGATATTCTGTCACTAGTTCACCTTCATTCTTGAAAAATTCTCGTCACATTTTTTCTGATCTACCTCGTAAGAAAACCAACGGAGCTAATTTTGGAAACAGAGAAACCTTTTAATGTTGAATACTTAATCGCTACATCATATGAAGCTTGATTATGGGGAATAACTTGCCAAAATATATTTAGTTTATGCTTTTCTTTCCTGTCTCAATCATCTAAAATATTCTTTGCATACCTTCTGTTAAACATGGCGTTTTTCTTTTCACCCCTTGTTCACTTGGAATCTCACAACTACTTGGTAAAATTTAATTTAATTTTTGAATTTGTCTTCAGCAACCACTAAGGTTTTGGCTTCAGAACTCCCAAAGCACTGGAACAAAAAATGCACTGTCTTATATCCTTCTTCAGCAAAAGCTAGCACTGAGATTAGTATGTGCGATGTTTCTGATTTTATGATGGCCCTTTCTTGTCAACTGAGAAATGGTTTGCACATGAATATGTGGATCCTATCCCGTAATGCACAAACAAAATATAATTTGGGTTCTATATTGGATGGGAAGACAGCAAATAGAATCTGCATCATATTAGTGGTTCCGAACACAGTACTGAAATTTAAACACAATAGTGATGCCCATAGAGGCCTTAATAAGGTTCAGCATCATTATTACTGAATTTCATTTATTCTATCTATTCATTCTCTCAAGCAGCTGGCTGAAAGATTAATATTGTGGGTGTATGATATGACTTATTATTATCATTAGTTTAGGTCTTTTCCTTTTTGGGTTTTGCCACCAACCCTGACTATGAAGGCTCTATTCTGCTGCTATTTTGTAAATCCTTGCTTCAACTTTTGTTGAATGGCACTCTTTTGGTCTCATTTGTTAAATTAAATCATTGACATTGTTTGAATTGAAAATTATTGATTGTTCATTTCCTTTTAGGTTCACAATGTTCTTCATTTTTATGCAAGTGGCTGGTTATACATGTTACAGAAAGTGGATGCTTTTCTTGTTTTAGTTTGTAGTGTTGATGATTTTTTCCTGTTCTATATTTTAGTGTGATGACTATATGTCATATCTATGTATATTTGGTTTTATGACTTTAAAATATCTGGCCATGCATTTAAGATTTTTATTTTAGATTTATTGATTCTATGTATATGTCATTGACCATTGAGATAGTTCTAGAAGTCCAAAATCACAAACCCTAACCAAGATTTTGTATTATGTTGCATTGATTTTCGTATTTAGTATTTATTTATTTTTAAATAATTCTGAGTGTTTTTCCATTGCAGTGTTTATTCGATGTATTACCAAAGGACTGCAGACTTGATTTCTCTTCATTCTGGTTTGTATTTCTTCTTTGTTAAAAAGACTACTGAAATTCAATTAAATCATATGACCTTTTTGGTTGCTTTGAATATCTAAAGAAAATAAAGGTAAAACCTTGGGTTTATATACATAAATTTGTTCTGCTTCTTGACAGCTTTTAGGAAACAACTGGAGCAATAGTAGAAAATTCAAAAAATTATTCCTCTTCTGGAGTCTCCAGAATTGATTACATCCTAATTGTTTGTAAATATATTGTTAGGTTAGTTATGTGCTAGTGTATATATATACATGTATGGGAAAAACCTCTTGCAGTTCAATGGAAAAAAGACTTACACGGAAACTGAACTTGATGAAGTGCAAGTTGAATGGATTAATTTCGTACTAAAGAATATGAGTTGAAATCCAATGTAAGTATGATATAACTTCCGTTGTTTAAATTACTAATCAACAATTTCTTTAGTTGGTAAAGAATATATAATCACTTCAAGATTTCATTTTAGATTTGTTGATTCTATGTATATTTGGTTTTATGACTTTAAAATATTTGTTCATACATAGAAGATTTTCATTTTGGATTTATTGATTCTATGTATATGTCATATTTATATATGGTAATCCAAACATTTTATATTAGTAACAATCAAAGTTGTTATTCCTTTCCATTAATGCAGGAGATGAAGACTCAGTGTGATGAGAAAATGTTCTATTTCGTCTTTTGTAAGTCTCTACAAAAATATGAAGTTTATTCATATGCTTTTAGCGGTTTCTGAATTAATTTGTGTTTTTATTTTTCAGGTCAGAAGTTCTTGGAGAAATGCAAAATATGGTCAAAGAATTTAACAAACTTAGTTTTTTCAAGTTTTATTTTTTATTTTTTAATATATGTAAGCACAGTTAAAAACTTTTTACTAATTCCTTTGTATATACTTTTTGAACATTTAACTTTCATTTATGAAATATATGATGTTATTCCATTCAATATATGGTTGTGATTCAAAATATAGTATATAGTGTGTATTATATTCTTCAAATGCATATAACATGTGATCTTATCTGATTATTAATCACGTGTTTTATTAGATATTAATCACACTTAAAATCTGTGATCTAAATGTTTATTATCACATGTTTTATTAGTTATTAATCACACTTAAAAGATGTGATCTAAATATTTTTAATCACACTTAAAAGGTGTGATCTAAATATTTTTAATCACACTTAAAAGGTGTGATCTAAATATTTTTAATCACACTTAAAAGGAGTGATCTAAATGTAATTAATCACACTTAAAAGGTGTGATCTAAATATTTTTAATCACACTTAAAAGGTGTGATCTAAATGTTTTTAATCACACTTAAAATGTGTGATCTAAACGTTTTTAATCACACTTAAAAGGTGTGATCTAAATGTTTTTAATCACACTTAAAAGGTGTAATTAAAAATGACCCCTTTTAATCACACTCTCAAAGATCACACTTTAATAAAACTAAAAAGGTGTGATTAAATAACAAACATCACACAAAAAATGTGTGATCTTTATCTGTTTTTGTAGTAATGTAGTTGATCAAATTAAAACAATTTTCACAATTTAAACATTGTTAATAAAAATGACACAAATCACACACTTAAGAGACTAAAAAGGTTAACTACTAAAAAAACGGCATATAGCAATGTTTGTTTTGTGGCGTTTATGGAAACGTCACTATAGATTCATTAAACACAGCGTTCTCAAAACGTTGTCTTTGATTTCCGTTAACGACGTCGTATTGGGTCGATTTATTAACACCGTCTTAGACTCCGTCTCTCATTTTCTCTGGCTCTCACTTTCTCTGCCTCTTCCACAACCCACGAATTGAAGCTTAAACACACACACTCTCTCTCTCGCTCGCTCGATTGCAGATTTTGTGTTGTATGTTCTTCATCAATGTTGATCGAAGCTCAAACAACCCTCGATTTGAAGCTCAAACACACAGAACTCAACCGCAGCAATTTGCTCTAGCTGTTCTTCATCAATCACAACGATCTCTGTCTTCATCGATCTCGAGGCTAATCGAGTGAGAACGCCGCACCAGATGGTCCAGACTCCGATCTCTTCGTTTATTACTGCAAGCACTGCCGATCTCATGTCCTCATCACTGGTTCACTTATCTCTCTCTTCGTCTAATTCATCTCAATTCACCTTCACCTACTTCTCTATTTGAATCTATCTATGCTATCTACTTACCTATATATACACACATTTATATGCACTAGCTTCGTTTCCACACACACACAAAAACTAGAAAATATTGGATTATCATCTTTGATTTTGTTATTTAGAGTGTTTGTGTTTGTGTGTTTTTTTTAAAATTTATTTTGGTTTTTAACTTGTTGAGACTGCTAGTGTTTGTGTATCTGTTCTTCATCAAAATCGATCTGTTGTCATAACATTTGATGTTTTTCTTTTTAATTTTAATTTTTTTTTTTAAATTGTGTTTAGTGTTTTGGAAATAATATATCATGGATCTCAAATTCTAGTACTCAGTGTCTTCAATTGGCTTGGTGGACCAAGAATCCTTTGCTTGTGTCATTTTAGATGTCAGCGAGGTCTCATGAGCTTTATTGTTGGAAGGCTTGTCTGAATCTGTTATTTCATAAAAAGATACAAATATTTTGGTTGAAATACCTATAACCCAATGAATGGTGTAGGAGGAAAGAGGGAAAAACCTTGTGTTGTTTTTGGATCATGGATTTGGATAGGATTTACAAAAAATTTGCAAAAAGAAAGGGAAATAGAAAAAAGAAAAAGAAAAAAAGAGAGGTTATATTTAATTCACATTGTTCTTTCCTTTTCTTTTTCCCCTTTCAAAGTTTTACCCAAATCCATTGTGAATGATCTTTCCTTAAATTAAGTTCATTATGTAGCAGTAGCTGTCACTAGGTGACATTACTTGTATTTTTTAAAGTTATTCAAAACCCTCATGTAGATATTATGCATCCTAATAAACGTGTTAGCTTATGAGCTACATCATTACATTAGTTAAACAACATTTATACTTTCTTATTTTCAGAGGTAAGGAACAAGAAAAACATACAATCCTACCATCTACCATCATTGTTTCTTTTATTTTTCCTTCCTTAGCATCTACATCCATATATGATTGTATTTTTTAGCTGCTTTTGATGATAACTTTTTTGTTTTTTGCTTCTTTCTCAGTTTTCAACTTTGCACTTTCCTTGGCTTTGTTGAGAGCTTCAATCAGTTCCTTTAAGCAAGTCTCTTTTGAAGCAGTCTTTGGTATCAAGTTATCTGCAACACCACAAGGACTCATATCGGTTTCGTACAATAAGCTGTCTCTGTTTTGTAGATAATTACAGTTGTAGTTTGTCATTCAAGAAAGGCTTTTTAATATCTCTATTATGTGATATACTTTGGAAGATCAATGTGATATATTTTGTGTAGTAAAAATCTCATGAAATGTGCAATTAGTTAAATTCTTTGGTTTATACTCCATTTCCAAAGTTATAGTATGAACCTTGTAGTGCACAATAACATTTATTTTACAGCAACTATATAGTCACAGAGATTGCCAACTTTGGTATTTTATTTCATATTCTTGCAGCAACAGTAGCACAGAAAAAAAAAATGGTATTTTATTTCATATTCTTGCAGCAGTAGCAGCACAGGAAAAAAAAAAACAAAAAAAACGAAAAATGCCGTTTTTCAAAAAACGCCACTAAATGACGTTCATATTCTTGCAGCAGCAGCACAGGGGAAAAAAAAAAAAGTGGTTTTTTTTTAAAACGCCACTAAATGACGTCATCGTGACATCACACGTTAGTTTGTGACGGAAGGTAGGAAGGTAGGACGGGCGTCCACTGCAACATTTTCTTAGTTTAGTGACATTTGAAAGTGCCACAAAACTATTCTTCTAATGACATTTTTTGGTCTTGTGGCATTTTGAACAAGTGCCACTTCTATCGGTGCCACGGTAGATACGAGTGCCACGGTAGATACTTACAAGTGCCACTGCACCATCATGGCTGAAAACTTTCAATGACATTTTAATGTCATGGTAAATATTATTTGTGGCACTATCAAGCGCCATTAAAAAAAGAGTTAATGACACTTGTAAGTGTCATTACACCATCAAGACTAAAACCTTTCAGTGACACTTTAATGTCATGGTAGGCACTATTCGTGACGCTATCAAGTGCCATTCATGACGATAATTCGTTGTAGAACAATTTGATCCGCTCTTGCAGAGACTCGAACCGCCAACCTTTCGCACCATAAACCTTATACACCACACTCTTCCCACTACACCTCTATACCACCACATGATTATATATGCAACATATATTATTTATATAGTACATACATCCATATTAATATAAAAGTATATGTATAAACATAATTATTTTATTGAACATAATATTCTACACTTTTAGCTACTAATTGCTTTTTAGTTGCTAAAAAACTTAACTTTTGTCGACCAAAATCGGATTTGGTCGTTGAAAATGCACTTTCAGCTACCAAAATTTTGGTCACCAAAAAATTTTATTCCCGCTAGAGCCTTTTATGTTTGTCGTTTTGTGGCATTTTTCAAAACGTGCTACTAAATATCATTTTTTGTGGCATTTTCTAAAAATATGTCACTAGTGTAGTGCCACTAAAGTATGTTTTTGTTGTAGTTTTGTGACACTTGTTCATTGAAATGTCACTAGAGCCTTTTATGTTTGTCGTTTTTTGGCATTTTTCAAAAATGTGCCACTAAATATCATTTTTTGTGGCATTTTTTAAAAATATGCCACTAGTGTAGTGCCTCTAAAGTATGTTTTTGTTGTAGTTTTGTGACACTTGTTCATTGAAATGTCACTAGAGCCTTTTATGTTTGTCGTTTTGTGGCATTTTTCAAAAATGTGCCACTAAATATCATTTTTTGTGGCATTTTCTAAAAATATGCCACTATTGTAGTGCCACTAAAGTATGTTTTTGTTGTAGTTTTGTGACACTTGTTCATTAAAATGTCACTAGAGCCTTTTATGTTTGTCGTTTTGTGGCATTTTTCAAAAATGTGCCACTAAATATCATTTTTTGTGGCATTTTTTAAAAATATGCCACTAGTGTAGTGCCTCTAAAGTATGTTTTTGTTGTAGTTTTGTGACACTTGTTCATTAAAATGTCACTAGAGCCTTTTATGTTTGTCGTTTTGTGGCATTTTTCAAAAATGTGCCACTAAATATCATTTTTTGTGGCATTTTCTAAAAATATGCCACTATTGTAGTGCCACTAAAGTATGTTTTTGTTGTAGTTTTGTGACACTTGTTCATTAAAATGTCACTAGAGCCTTTTATGTTTGTCGTTTTGTGGCATTTTTCAAAAATGTGCCACTAAATATCATTTTTTGTGGCATTTTTTAAAAATATGCCACTAGTGTAGTGCCTCTAAAGTATGTTTTTGTTGTAGTTTTGTGACACTTGTTCATTAAAATGTCACTAGAGCCTTTTATGTTTGTCGTTTTGTGGCATTTTTCAAAAATGTGCCACTAAATATCATTTTTTGTGGCATTTTCTAAAAATATGCCACTATTGTAGTGCCACTAAAGTATGTTTTTTTTGTAGTTTTGTGACACTTGTTCATTAAAATGTCACTAGAGCCTTTTATGTTTGTCGTTTTGTGGCATTTTTCAAAAATGTGCCACTAAATATCATTTTTTGTGGCATTTTCTAAAAATATGCCACTAGTGTAGTGCCACTAAAGTATGTTTTTGTTGTAGTTTTGTGACACTTGTTCATTGAAATGTCACTAGAGCCTTTTATGTTTGTCGTTTTGTGGCATTTTTCAAAAACGTGCCACTAAATATCATTTTTGTG